TATGTATGTATATGGGTAAACATACAAATAATATATTTATCGATTATTCTTTCTAAGGTTGATTCATTTTTACCTCACAAAATCCAATGTGATTCTATCAGACTATAAATAAATAAGAACACAAACATGACACAAAAACGCGACAGCGTCGATATGCCGGTAGATTCGCCCCCACATACTGTTGGTCAGAACAGCGTGGAGGACGGTTTCCCGCGCAAGGCATCCGTGACTTCCATTACCGTAAATGCTGGTAGTGATTCCGAGTTCAGCTGGTTGCTGAGTGGTGATGTTAATCCAGGCGGAAAATCTATTGCGATCGGAAATTTGGCAGGAGAAGTCGACCAGGCACAAAACGGTATTGTGCTGAACGCTTCGGGAGTGGCACTGAACACTGCGACCAAGGGTCTGTTTGTTGATCCTATTCGAAGTGCAGAGATGACCTGCAATGTGTAATACTACGATGACGATACGAAAGAAGTATTTTTCCGTACGCTTCCCAACCCAGAAAAGCAGATTGGTGATGGGACGTGTGTATCCGACTACGTTCGCTGGTCGGGGACCGAATGGGTATCGGGCGGCGACACGGTGGCCATCGCCTGTGTGGCTGGGGATACGTCGCAGGGTGCGTTGGCCGTTGCTATAGGTAAAAGCGCCGGCAACATTGATCAGGGCGCCTCTGGTGCGGCGATTGGTGCAAATGCAGGCCAGATGAGTCAGGGTGTCGACGCAGTATCCATTGGCCCCAGCGCAGGTACAACAGCCCAGAGTGAGGGTGGTATAGCCATTGGTGTGGACTCCGGGAAGTCGGGGCAAATAGAAAATTCGATTGCCATTGGTAAGTTAGCGGGCGAGACGGACCAACCCAAAAATAGTATCATTCTGAACGCATCCGATGTAGCGCTTAATGCGGCAAATTCCGGGCTCTTTGTGTCGAATATGCGCAAAATTGACATGACAACTAATGCGCTGTACTACGACTCTACAACAAAAGAGATTGTGTACGGGGCTGTGGTAACGAAAACAATCAACACTGGAGCAGGGGGAGTGGTGGATGGAACCGGCATTGGTGATTACCCGCGCTGGGACGGGTCTGTGTGGGTTCCGGGTGGCAAAAAGGTATTAATTGCGGTTGGAGCGGGGGAATTTGCACAGGGTGCAAAAGCGGTGGCGATGGGATCTAGTGCAGGCAAGACGAACCAGGGTAGTGATTCGGTGGCCATCGGTGTACTCGCAGGCGCTACATCACAGAAAAGCTTCTGTGTAGCGATTGGTAAGAATTCGGGCGAATTGTCCCAGGCAATAAACGCAGTTGCCGTGGGACGGAGTGCTGGACGAGAACGCCAGTCTTCGGGATCGGTTGCAATCGGCTATACGGCGGGCAGTGTTACGCAAGGGGCGGATGCCACGGCGATCGGGTCAGCTGCTGGGGAAAATGACCAGGCATACCGCGGCATCGCCATTGGTACATATTCAGCAGAATCAGCACAGGGTGATGAGTGGATTGCGATCGGCAACAATACCGGCAAGACGTCACAGGGCAACTACTCAATAGCCTTGGGCAAGTACGCCGGCTATACCACGTAGGGTAGCGCGAGCATTGCAATAGGTGACAATGCCGGCAGAACAGGGCAGGGTAGCAACGCCATCGCAATTGGTGCGGTTGCGGGGCGAAATAACCAGCCCGAGAATAGCATCATACTCAACGCATCCGGTGTGGTGCTCGATGCATCCAATGCGGGGATGTTTGTTTCGTCGATTCGCAACACCGATACGGCGATGGGAAATGCGCTGTACTATGATCCCACAACGATGGAAATTCTCTACGGAGACGCCGTTGCGAGATGCACTGATCCAACTGTCACACTACCCGATGGTACGTGTGTGTCTGAATACGTGCGCTGGGACGGCGCAAATTGGCTATCGGGCGGTAGCACGGTGGCCATCGCCTGTGGTGCAGGTGAGTTCGAGCAGGGCTTGAAAGCCGTAGCTTTGGGTGAAAATGCCGGCCAGACGAGTCAGGGCACCTCTGGTGTGGCGATTGGGCAGACGGCTGGCGAGACAACCCAGGGTAAAAATGCTGTGGCTGTGGGATACCGGACATGAAGAGATGGGCAGGGCGAAGAGTCTGTTGCCATAGGGCCATTTGCAGGGTCCATTGTACAGGCACTCAGGGCAGCTGCACTCGGATACGCATTAGGATATGATACGCAGGGTGATTTCAGTGTCGCAATTGGCTACACTGCGGGACGCAACACGCAAGGTATATATGCAATAGGGATAGGTGCAACTGCTGGCCAAACAAATCAGGGCGACTACACGGTGGCCATTGGTAGCAAGTCCGGCAACACCGACCAGGGCTTGAACGCTGTAGCTTTGGGTGAAAATGCCGGCCAGACGAGTCAGGGAGCCTCTGGTGTGGCGATTGGTGCAAATGCGGGCCAGACGAGTCAAGGTGTGGATGCCGTGGCCATTGGTGCAGACTCGGGTATAAAGGAGCAGGCCCTGTACGGCGTGGCAGTAGGGTACCATACTGGGATGGAGATGCAGGGCGAAGGGGCGGTGGCACTGGGTAAGAACTGTGGTGAAATGAACCAGCAAACCAACAGTGTGGCTGTGGGTGTTGGGGCCGGTAGAAACGACCAGGGTGAAAATGGTGTGGCAATAGGCTACACGGCTGGACGAAACGAGCAGGCGCTTGATGGAACGGCAATTGGACTTTCTGCTGGCAGAGAGAACCAAGGTGAGCGGGGTATTGCCATAGGTCGAATGGCGGGATCGTTAACCCAGGGGTACGCGGGTATCGCGATGGGGGCAAATGCGGGTTTCGACACACAGGGTGAGAATGCAATTTCCATTGGTCTCACGGCCGGGCGGAACACACAGGGTCTGGATGCAACGGCAATTGGGTCGTCCGCTGGGCGTGGAAACCAGGGCGAGATCGCGATTGCAATCGGCCGACATTCGGCATATGTCGATCAAGGGTACGTGGCCATTGCACTAGGGTCGAATTCTGGATACAACACGCAGGGTGCTGAGAGTGTTGCGATAAGCAACAATTCGGGGAAAACAAAGCAGGGGGACTTTAGCATTGCCATAGGAAGCCTTGCGGGTGAAACGAACCAGGCTGAGAGTAGCATTGTCCTAAACGCATCGGGGGCGGCACTGAACGCAGCGAGCGCGGGCTGTTTTGTCAAGCCGATCCGTAACGCGTCGGGGCCCAACGCGATAACGTACAATCCTAGCACGGGCGAGATTTCATACTCGACGTCGAGTCTGGCGACCAAGGAGAATGTGCGGGTGTTTGAACAGGACGCGGAGTCTGCACTGCAGAAATTGGCGGTAAAGGAATTCAACTACAAGAACAAGAATACGTACAACAAGCGGGTGCTAACGTACGAGGCATGGGCTGCCGAGCAGACAAGGCACGGTGGAGATTCGGATGTAAACGTTGACGTTGGAGACGAGTGTGTAGAAAAACCTAGTCTAAAAACTCAGTACGATAGGTACCTGGCTAAAATCGCGAACACGGTTGTTGAGAAGGAGGAGACGCACTTTGGGTTCATTGCCGACAAAGTGCAGGCTATTATGCTGGAGCTCGTGTACAATGATATTGACGTTGCGGCAGTGGATATCAAGTTGAATAATATGACGGCCATGCTGGTGAAGCAGTACCAGGCGATGGCTGTGGAGCTTGCGGATACGAAGCAGCAGTTGGCGGAAATAAAAGCTGAACAAGCCCAGAGTACTACTATGTAGGAGGCGCGATTTACGGAGCTGAGTAAATAGATGACAATAGCATGCCACTAATAAGACTTGAATGGTGGACTGGTCCGCCAAAATGGCAATACCATGGCACTTATAAGACTTGAATGATGGACTAACGCTATTACCTAGTCGTTCATGATTCGCGCCTTCTCTATCGTACACCTCCTCTTTAACATCGGATACCTTTAAGTACATCCCCTTTACTATTGGTGTGTCTCAAAATACCGTGGCAGGAGTGCCACGTGGCACTCCTGCCACCTAGATACTTAAAGGCACTACCTCCCTCTCCGGTTAAGGGGTCTAGTAATCTAAATTCAACCCTATTAGTCCTCTTTAAAGTGGTCCCTAAACATTTACTCTTGCTATACCTAGTCAACTCCACTAGTCTTATACCAAACAATGAAAAACTACGGTTGGAGTCCTTTAGGGATGTAAGCACTACTATAAGTGTCTATCGTGCTATCCAGCCCTTTTCATGGGCTCAAGCGCACTGGTCTACTATTCTAATCCATGGGTCTGACAACCTGTACACAACTCTATAGTCCTCTTTAAAGTGGGCCCTAGACATTTACTTTTGCTACCCTAGTCAACTCCACTAGTCTTATACCAAACAATCCAAACTACGGTTAGAATCCTTTAGAGATGTAAGCACTACTATAAGTGTCTATCGTGCTATCCAACCCTTTTCATGGGCTTAAGCGCACTGGTCTACTATTCTAATCTATGGGTCCGACAACCTGTACACAACTCTGCGAGCTTCTTCACATTAGGTCCTATGGACATAGTTATCTTGGTCTATACAGAAGACGGATCTTTAGAGTTTATTTCTCGACATAGGATGTCTAGTAAATGGGTTCTTCAGGTAGGTCTAAGTATATGTAGTAGTTGGGTCTTATACACACCAATAGTTTCACTTAGGGTACTTTGAAAACTACGGCCTAAGGGTTCTTTCCCACTGGGGGGTCTGGGTCTCCCTACATTATCCCTTACCCACACTCCGTCCTGCGACAACGAGGATGCCGCTGCCTTTATGGCGAAGTGGGGAATGTTCTTCTCCAAGGCCGATCTGTCGGGCCGGGAGCACCACATTGCACAGTTCATTGCCGATTCGGGCATTTCTATTGTTCCAATCGCCCACTCCAGGACACATGTGTACTTCCCCTACCAAACCGGCGAGACTATGTTCCAAAACACGTTCACGGCATCTGAACACCTCGTCGTGGCACGGGTGGTCCTACAGCAGTACCTTGAGCTCTATGAGCGCACGGGCTTTGTGTACAATGACCTTGTGCCTTGGAACATTTACGTGTTCCCCGCGACAGCCAATGCTGATGAGACACGTCACAGAGGCAGCCGCAAGAGCAAGGCCCGCAAGAACAAGGCCCTAAAACGCGACCCCACAATTATGCTGGTGGACTTTGACAAGTCTGGTACCTTGAGCTCTATGAGCGCACGGGCTTTGTGCACAATGACCTTGTGCCTTGGAACATTTACGTGTTCCCCGCGACAGCCAATGCTGATGAGACACGTCACAGAGGCAGCCGCAAGAGCAAGGCCCGCAAGAACAAGGCTCTAAAACGCGACCCCACAATTATGCTGGTGGACTTTGACAAGTCTGTCATCAGTGCGTCGGACCATGACTTTGGCATTGACTGCTGCAAATTCATAGTCCATGTCATGTGGCAGATTTTGTTTACCGGCACGCATAGTCTGGAGGATATGCAGACAGTCGTGGCTGTCGACGACCACACCGTGCCGGCCTTCCGCATCATGGCCCTTGACATTGAGGCCTACGCCATGGACCGATCCAAGATGCCCGATGTAG